CGAAATCAATATGATCATATTTTGGAACAATTGATGAATCCCCCAGAATTTGCATGCATTCATTTCCTCCATTGATTTCTGGTTTCTTCATGTATTGCTCACAATCCGGCGCACCCAAATCTGGCTTTTCAACAAGAACATCTTCTATCGCCTCCTCATAATCAAAATCCTCATACTCTTCACAACAAGTATCGAAAAGTGGACCTTCCATAGGCGATATTTCAATATACTCCTCCTTGTCTTTATGTTGAATTGCTTGAATCTTGATGTCAAAGACTTCTGGACTTGTCTCTTGTGTCTCTATGGTAGCCTCAAAAGAATGCTCTTGATATGAATTTTGATTCCCTATCTTCAACGGAGCTTCTGGTTGGATTATTACTGCTGACGCACTAATTCCCCATGAAATTTCCAATCGAGTAAGGCTCGCATTTATTTGTGCTTGCCCTTGACGATAAGCTTCTATTTGCGCGCTAATGTGTCGTAATATTGACGCCACGTCTTGTGCTTGTTCCGCCATGGTTTCTTGCTAAAGAAGAACCCCACGAATGCTTTGTCTTCAAGATACCTTCCTTACCGCACAAGAAACTCTCAAGAACGTCCAAGATTTGCTTTCTTGACGATCAATACTACCAAGAATGTTTCTCGAACTACCAAGAACTCCAAGAACCTTTGTCTTCTCCGCTGCGTTTGAACCGGGCTCTTGATACCACTTGATGTGATCATAATTCGAGAATCCTCCCAAAACGGACCAAAAACCAGAGTTGCACACGTCGAACTTTTTAGGGGTTTTCTCCTTTCTTGAATAACACGAAATAAAGATACTTGCGGAATCGATCAAACAAATCCGAACTCGTGAGAAGGGCCAGAAGGTATATGAAACCTTCCAAACAATCTCGAACCCGTGGAAGAGGCCAATCGATATCGTCGATGCTCGCCACAACTAGACGCGTTCTCTAGTTGATAAGAGACCACACAAACCTCCCGAATCCTCAAAGGAGCGAATAAGCAAAACGTTCACTTGAACTTGTAAACACTTGTATTGAGTGTTCCTATTCGTCGCCCTAAATATTTAAATTCTATAACCCTAAAACATAGGTAATTACATAAATGTCCTTCATTTAATTTTATGGTTCAACTATCCTAGAGTTAAGAACCCAACCCATTTGAACTTTTTCTTTACGGAAAAAAAAACACAAATATCAGCCCAAAAACTAAAACAAAACACTAACACCACAAAAATCAATCACAATCTTCTACATTGGTAAATTTTCGTCGGATTCCGGCGAGTTCGTCGGAGGTAGAGGCATCATTATTTTCCAGTCGCCATAGCATGCAGGCGCTCGGATTGAAGGTTTGATTTCGTTTTCATTTTTTTTTTCCAGAAAAGTGGGCCGAGCATGTTGAAAACCTGCCTCGACAGCTGTCCAAACATGTTGAAAATCTGTCTCGGCCATGGAGCGGACGTGCTGCCAACCTGCCCCTCCCACCCGTCAGGCATCCACGCAGCATGTTTGGAACCGTGGCGAAGCGGGTTTTCAACATGTTCGCCCTGCGGTCGGGACACGTTTTCAACATGCTCGACCAAAGGTTCTGTCATGTTTTCGACATGTCCGTCCGTTGGTCTAGTCCTGTTTTGAACATGCTCGAACAAATTTTGTGATGTTATGGACATTTTTTAATGAAAATTCACATAAATTATACTAATTATGTTACACTCGTTGTGTATTGTGTTTATTAGGAAGGAGGATAAAAATCTTGTACCACCATCATTAACCAACAAGGAAATTATTATGGGTGATTCGGTAAGTACTCGATTTATTTGTTGTTTTTATAATTTAATTATCGTAACATAATTGTTGCACGACTAAATGTTTTTACATTGTATATTTTTGTAGGGAGGATTTGGATGAGGGTGATAAAGTCGATTACACGTCATTGTTTATAAGTGATGTTGTTTATGATACCCATGTGAACCTTCTACAACAACAAAGGAGATTGCCAAAATTAATACTGGAGGAGAAAATCCACAGTATATATGGTTTGGGGGAGAAGGGTTTAGGACGGGTACATAGAAGGTGCAAGAGAGAAAACGTTTGCTTTAGTATTTATGATTATGTCTATTATTCGTGAACATGCTTAAGCATAATCACTAATTATAAAATTTGTCGTTATTATAAAATATCGTTAAAATTGTATTTTCTTGATTTCTCGAGCTAGCAACATGGGAAATGGCCAAAATTCTCACTGGTCCCTTGAAATATCTCTGAACGCACTGGATTCAACCGTTTCTTGATTTGAAGTCAATGAGCGAAGAAAACATGAATAGTGTCAAATCTTTAATCAAGGTTTCGAGTGCCTTGGGTGTTAAAACAGGGAATTTCTTCAGACTAACATGAGTCTTTCGATGTTGTAAACGATTGTTGTTAGTGAAGGTTCGAATGATTTGGCCTCTAAGATGACATTGTAATAGGATTGGTCAAATTAACATAAAGGTTAGTAATTAGTACATGAATGATACCTCACATGCATCTACACCCACTAATAATGCCAAAGCTTTGATTAGAACTAAGATTCCATAAATTATTGTTGAATTGGAATGTGATTATTTTGTAAGCATTTTAAATTTGGAATAGTTATTTTCATACCCATACGAGACCGACTACGTGGATTTACAATTATCATTAGTTTTATTTATGATTCAATCATAAATTAACGAAAACATTTTTAAACATAATAATTAATATGTACAACAAACTATTTATGGTAATAAACATATTAATAATTCACATACTAATCAATAATAACTCATGTAATCGTAGTTCTAATCACAAATTCTTTTGCATACAAATAAATCACACAATTTTTTTTATTTTGAATATCTGAATCACAAACAGTCAAACACTAAACCATAGATCACAAATTCTAATTTGTAAATTACATGTATATTCACATAATTTTTTTAAGAGACCGGTCTGACCAACAAGCGAACCAGAGCGGGGCGGTCATATTTCTACCCGAACTAGAGCGGGACAGATCGGATATATGTCTGGACCAAGTAGGGGCGGGTTGGAAACCCGGCTGGACCCGTGGCTGGGCGGATACCCTACCTGCCTCGCCCTGGCTCCAGGTGGGTAACCTACCCGCTTCTCCTCCGACCTCCGCGTAAACCCTACCTGCCCGCCCAGCAACGAGGCGGGTTGAAAACCCGTCGCCGGCGGGCTGAGACAGGTCGACACCACGTCTCCAGCCTGCCGACGACGGGTTTTCAGCCCGCCTCGTTGCCGGCATCAGAAATAAAAAAAAAGCGAAGCAGCAACTATCACCACAGATCTGGCTAGGAGGAATGACGATGACGGCGCGGCTTCTTCTGGGATGCTACTGACAGTGAGTCTCGTGGTTGGCGGTGGGCTTCTTCTTCCTCCTCCGACGGGGAGAGTCTCGTGGCTGACGGCGTCGTGGGATGGGAGGGGAAGGGAAGGGCGGACAAGTGGCTGGTGGGAAGGGAAGCCTCGTTGCAGGTGGCGCCATGGCGGGGAGGGTGGCTGGTGGCGGGGTAGAAGGGTGTTGGAGATGGGAGACGATACAGGGAAGGGGAAGGGGAAGGGGATGGGTTGGTGGTTGGACTTGGGTGGATGAGTTTAGGTTTAGTTGAGGGCAAAAGTGTCTATTTGGGTAGTTTAGGGCGATAAAATTGAAAAATTCAAATATTTAGGGCGTTAAATAGCATTCCAGCTTGTATTTGATTGCTAAAACTTGAATGTTGGGTACCAAATTCGTAGCTCTTACACCCTCTATTTATAGAGGTCTCAAAAACATAAAACTAACCTAAAAGGAATAAGAAAAACAAATCCCAAACTAACTAGGAAACATTATACTACTTTAATAAGACTAAAACTATTAATTAAAGGGTTAATTGCAAGGATGGTCACTGGGTTTACTAAAACCGTTCATGTTTGGTCACTGCAAATATTTAATTCCATTCATGGTCACTAAGATTAGTTCAATAGTTCAAGTTTGGTCACTCTCCATTAGTCTCCGTTAGTTTTTGCTGATGTGGTAGTCAACTATTATAGTTGACCGTTAAATGAGTGACGTGGTCATTAAAAAATAATAAAATAATAAAATTTAAATATTTACAATTTCCACCTCATTTTACAATTATTAAAAATAAAAATAAAACTTACCTGTACACACGAAAAACCAAACCAAGCCATCCCGCCGGCCGGCCGCAAGAACCAATCCAGAGAACACTCATTGCACAAACTCACCATGGCTTTCGTCGCGACCTCTTCTTCCACCACCGCAATTTCGGCTTCGAATCTTGCTCGATCTACTGCTTCTTCCTCCTCCGAGCCCAAAGGTACATTTGTGATTCCATTTACACTCTAATTTCTGGCTGATATCGTCGTATTTGCTCCCGTCGATTGTCTGATTGAGTTTGCGTTTATCGATTTTTTTCCCCTTCTGATTTGTTTAGCTCTACGAATCGGCTCGTCCGATTTTTGGATCATCCCTCCACCGCCACCGCCGTCAACCTATCTTCTTCTCGTAAGCGCTCCTCCGCTGTAAGGCCGGTGAATGCTGAGCCGAAGCGTAACGATGGAATCGTTCCTCTCGCCACCGCCGTCGCCCCTGACCGCTGACATCTCCGTCGCCGCGCCCCGCTACGTCCGCTCCCTCCTCTGCCACATTTCCCCCGCTCCGTCGCCCGGAATTAGGTCAACGACACGGTGGGTGCATTGGCCGGAGCAAGGTACTGGGACGACGATGTCATGGTAGCAGTCGTTTTGGGTACTGGAACCAATGCTTGTTATGTAGAAAGGACTGATGCAATTCCAAGGCTAAATGGCACAATGGCCTAATGCCTAGATTTTATCATTTCTCTTTACAAGGTGGAGTCCAACTTGAGCTCCCGAAAAGTGGCATTGGAGGTCTGCGACGCGATTGTGAAACGAGGAGGGAGGCTAGCAGGAGCCGGGATCGTGGGAATCCTGCAGAAGATGGACCAGGATTCAAAGGGCTCGATCTACGGGAAGCGAACTGTCGTGGCAATGGATGGTGGCCTCTACGAGCATTATCCTCAGTATAGAGGGTATATGCAATGCGCTGTTGAAGAGCTTTTGGGGTCAGAAGTTTCGAGAAACATTGTGATCGAGCACTCGAAAGATGGGTCTGGGATTGGAGCTGCTCTCTTGGCTGCTACCAACTCCAAGTACGAGCATTAGAATGTTTTGAAGGGCTTCTTCCCATATTCCTTTTGGTGGTGGTGGACGAGCGGCAGCTGGCGAAGGGTAGGAACTAGGAACCACCGCAGTTGAGATGCGACCTCTTGTGTCCGCCCAGTGCTTGACCCGACCCGAACACCTTTGAGCAATACGGGCACCGGAAAATCCTCTCCGCCGCAGCCACCACATTCCCCATTTCTCCGCCGCCGAGCTGGGTTCCGTTGAGGGAGCAAATCCGGCGGTGGGATCCCAATGCCTGTGACGATCGGAACTATTTCGTCCTGCATTTTAATGAATTTAATAAGAAATTAGGTTTTTTATTTTTTATTTTTATTTTTTAATGAATGTAATAATGAGGTGGAAAATATAAAAGTTTATTTTTTTATTTTTAATAATTTTTTAACTGCCACGTCACTAAGTTAACGGTCAACTTTGAGAGTTGACTGCCACATCAGCAAAAGTTAACGGAGTTGGACGGAGAGTGAGCAAACGTGAACGGTTTCAGTAAACTGAAGTACCACCAATGGATTTAAATATTTTGAGTGACCAAACTTGAACGTTTTTTGTAATTTCAGTGACCAACCATGCAATTAATCCATTAATTAAATAAAGACAAATGCACCGTTCCACTGCCGACTTTCCTTCTCCTTCACGGAATTGAGTTCCGTTCTCATTGCTGGCTGCGGAAACCTTCCTTTAATAATAATAATGATCTTCACGTGGCCTTCCCTTTAATTGCCATGTAATTATACCCATGAATTCATGCCATCTTTTCCTCATGCACACTCACGTCACTTTTCATGAATTCCACCAACCAATGGATTAACCCATGCCACTTTAAGTAATTAATCACCTAATAAGCCATGCAACCCAATAATGAGCCCGCCAATAATTGTACTACGAGCAGCAGCTATCCCATCGTGACCCATCTTGGTCCATTAAAAGTGCTCCCAATTGATCCTTAAATCGTTGAACTCGAATCTTCATTTTTGGACCACGAGAATTGAATATCGTGCTAGTCGATATCGCATCACATCATCCCGTGGCAGTGCGTTCCAGCGCACCAAACATTACTCGACGAACGTTCCACCTTGACGCACCCAACGATGATCAAGTACCTCCGCCGGTTGAACTTGCAACTCCCCATCATCATTAACCGGTAATGGTACGGTCTCGGCCGTAGGAGGAGGTCCCTTGTAAGGTTTAAGGAGTGAGACATGAAAAACTGGATGAATAAGTATCCCATCCGGGAGAGTTAATCGGTAGGCCACTGCCCCCACGCGTGCTTCCACGGGATAAGAGCCAAAATATCGAGCCGCCAACTTCTGAGAAGCACGACGAAACACGAGTGCTGTCGGTACGGCTGCAAACGCAAAAGAATGAGATCACCCACCTCAAACTGAGGATCCCGCCTTTTTAAGTTCGCCAACTGCTTATTATGGGCATTAGCCGCCTCCAACGTCGTCTTAAGCTTCTGAAGAATCTCATCCCTAGTGCACAAGAGTTGATCGTCCGCCCCAACTCCACTGCCGCCCGCTTCTTAAGGAATAATGCTAGGGGGCTCACGGCCATACAGGGCCTTGAATGGGGACATGTCGATCGATCGATGGAATGATGTATTATACCAAATCTCGGCCCACGACAAGAACATGTGCCAGCGTCGAGGCTGGGAATGAGCAAAACAACATAAATACTGTTCCAGACACCGATTAACCACCTTAGTCTGGCCATCGGACTGGGGATGATAGGCCGTGCTCATATTAATGCGAGTACCAGTGCGAGCAAAGAATTCCTTCCAGAATGTACTAAGGAATATGGTATCACGATCAGAGACAATCGAGGAAGGCATGCCATGATGACGAACCACGCCGTTAATGAACTCCTCCACCACTCGTCGGGCCGAAAATGGATGACTGTGGGACATAAAATGACCGTACTTGGTCAACTGGTCCACAACGACAAACAAAACTGAGTGACCCCCTGAAACTGGCAAGCCCTTAACAAAGCCCATGGAAATATCTTCCCAAACTTGACATGGAATGGGCAACGGCTGTAATAGTCCTGCGGGCGATAACGAATCCGTCTTCACACGCTGGCACGTGTCACAGCTGGCTATATAATCCTGAACCGCCTGTCTCATTTGCGGCCAATAGAAATGGCCAGAAAGTCGAGCCATGGTGCGACGGACGCCAGAGTGGCCACCCATTGGACCATCATGGAATTCGTGGAGTACAGTAGTCACCAGACTGGATAGCGGGGGAAGAAACACTCTGCCGCGGTAAAAAATCAGCCCGGCACGAAAAGTAGAGTGGCCAGGATCAGTAGAGAGAGCGTTTTCCTTCATTGACTGCAGGTATGGATTCACCAGGACCTCCGCCCTTAGCTCGTCCCACAGCGACGACACTGGCCGAGTAATGGTGCCGAGCTGCGCGCATGTGGGTACGCGAGACAGGGCATCGACTGCCCGATTACTGGTGCCCGACCTGTAATGGATTTCGTAGTCGAAACCCAGCAACTTACTCACCCATTTATGCTTATATGGAGTCGCGATCCGCTGTTGCAAGAGATACTTCAGGCTCTTCTGATCAGTATAAATATGAAATTTCTGACCCAACAGATACGGACGCCAGGTTTGAACAGCAGTGATGATGGCGTGCATCTCTTTTTGATACGTGGACCATGCTTCGTTTGCCGGCCCCAAGGTCTTACTCATGAAGGCAATTGGCCGCCCTTCCTGGGACAACACGGCCCCAATCCCCTTGCCCGAAGCATCAGCTTCTATCACAAATGGAATGGAAAAATTTGGCATCGCGAGGACCGGGGTTGACACCATTGCCTGTTTAAGATCGGTGAAGGCTTGACTAGCCGCCGCATTCCACTGAAATCCACCCTTCTTCAATAACTTAGTCAATGGCTTCGTGATACGGCCATAATTTCGAACAAATTTTCGATAGTACCCGGTTAATCCGAGGAAACCCCGTAGCTCAGTGACATTCTTCGGCTGCGGCCAAGCGACCAAGGCTTCAATTTTTCCTGGGTCGACGCGGACACCACGATCCGATATAAAATGACCCAAATACTCGAGCTCGCAGAGACCGAACGCACATTTCGAGAACTTCACATAATACTGATGATGTGCCAGGATTGTGAGGGTCTCTCGCACGTGCTGCAAGTGATCCTGCCAGTTCGCACTATAAATTAGAATATCATAAAAAAAACCAGCACGTACCGGCGCAAGACACTGCGAAATAGATCGTTCATGGCCGCCTGAAAAGTTGATGGTGCGTTGCATAGGCCGAATGGCATAACGAGATATTCATAATGTCCGTTATGCGAACGAAATGTCGTCTTGTGTGCATCCTCCTCGTGCATACGGATTTGGTGGTAGCGTGCTCGCAGGTCGAGCCGCGTAAAGAATCTCGCGCCGTGGAGCTCATCCAACATGTCCTCCACTATAGGAATTGGGTACCGATCCTTGATAGTAACATCGTTGAGAGCCCTGTAATCGGTGCAAAAACGCCACGTTCCATCCTTTTTCTTTACCAAGAGTACCGGGGATGAGAACGGGCTGAGGCTTGGTCGGATTAACCCTGCCGCCAACATTTCCTCAACCTGCTTCTCAATTTAAGCCTTTTGATGATATGCGTAACGATATGGCCTGACATTGACCGCATCCGCCTCATCTCTCAATTTGATGCGATGATCAACGTCCCTGCGAGGCGGCAACGCGGAGGGTGTTTCGAACACCGCCTCAAACTCGCGCACCAACTCGCGCAGCTCAGGTGGGAGGGAGTCGATCTCCACTGCCTGAAGTGGCCAGCAAAGCGCCCACACGACCCCGTCCTCGTGCACAATTTCGGCCGCCGAGGCCACTGCGCGGCGTGGGTGGATGCCTTGGAGTACCAACTCCTTGTCACGCCATTTAAACTTCATAGTTAGAGCTCGCCAATCGCACGTAACCGGACCGAGGTCGGCCAGCCATTGAATGCCGAATACCATGTCCATTCCTCGGATCGGTAGGATATACAAGGAGACGACGAACTCCTCGCCTTGAATCATGACCTTCACATCGTCGCACCTGCCCCAGCAGCGCATCGGCTCCCCGTTTGCTATCCGCACCGAGAAGGGTGCTATAGGTGCAATGCCCAACTTCATCTCCTCAACCTTTTGCTCTGAGATAATTATGGGTCGAGCCACTATCGACCGGAAGAATTGCCTGCACATCCGCTACCTGCGCGCGAAATTGGAGGGTTCGGGGACCATCAATTCCCGCCGCCGTGTTGAGAGAAAGCTCCACCTGCTCGCCGGCCGAAACATCGTCGTTGGCGGCAACGTCAGCCACGTTGTCATCGCTCCGCGAGCCGCCATCGGTGGTCTCGCGTTCCGGCTCGTTCAGCCAGCCGGCCAACTGTCGTTTGAGGGCCCGGATCTCCATGGTCATGTCGAGACATGCCGCCGTCGTACGCTTCACCGCCGCCGTATAAGCCTTGGCGCAAGCTCCCACGTCCACGGGCATGTGATAGACCATTAATTGCACATGTTTTTACCCCTATTCTTACACCGTTCGAGATGTTGATTCTCGTGTTTTAGGCCGATTTCACGCTAGGTTGTTCTTGTTTGTGATATTTCAGGTCCTAGTACGTGAATGAAGGTTTGGGAACGAGTTCGGGGTCGATTGGACGAAGATCGAACGTGTGGCGAGAAGCTGAGGAAGCCACACGTGCACTCCTAAAACCCACACGGCCGTGCAAAGAACCAATGTGGCTGTGTGGGATTTAGCGAGGCTTCACACGGGCATACTGGAGATTACACACGGTCGTGTGTCCTTGGCCGTGTAGGTAGCTTGAAGTCCATTTATTCGAAACACCGCATTTTGGCACTCACACGGGCAGCTGGGTAAGCCACACGGCCGTGTGGCCTAGCCGTGTGATCGGGAAAATATGGGTTTTAACCCAATTTCGAGCAAAAGGAGAGGGAATCGACTTTTGGAGCAAAAATAG